GCCTTAGCATAGCTCTTGCTACGTCTAGATTTTCACCCCCTTTATCTGAACGTACTCTAGAGGGCCAACCATATCTCTGCACAGCTGCTAAGAAGAGGGCAAGCACAGTCGAGGCATAGTTATTTGTAGCACAACTTAAATACACTATAAGTCTGGAAAACCCATCGATACCTCCATGTATGACGAACCTCCAACGGATGAGACAATGCAGTCCATCAATGTGCCAGAGAGAATTAGGTCCTCGGACACTGTAAACACGCCTTGTGATAGTGTTAAACCACCTCATTGCACTCCCTGCAGGGTCAGTTCGAACCAAACTTTCCCTAACACGCTGACGCTGCACAAAAATATTTCTACTTCGCAAATGTCCCAGCATCATACTGATACCAGAATTTGGAAATCCTTGTCTTAAACCTCGAATTAATTCATCTAAATCTGAATCCGTGATGGCTGTATAATGATGTTGACTGGAAAATGACTCCAGGTTTCTAATTCTTCGCCAAAGAGTAGTTCTAGAAACTAATAACATTCTTGATATGTGGGACCAATTAAATCTCATTCTGTTTCTTAGAAACTCCAACTGATGTGTAGAAATTTCGTAGGCCGGACGACCCGCTCTTTGATTTATAGGACCTGACAAACCTGGCAAAGTCCTTATGGGGCGAACTGTCGTGCAAGAACTTGCTCTTATTGCCAGCATCTCCCATCTGTTTAATAAGTATTGAAGTTGCCTCAACAGTGATTCAAGCTCTGGTATTCTGACATCATTTCCTTGATCGTCTGGGTCCAACGACTCTACCAAACGACGAACTGAATCGACAGCTACCTGAAGGCGGACTACCAAGTTTTCAGCCATGTTTCGATCGGCGTGTGGATAAAACCTGGAGCAATCCCTTAATAGACGAGAAACGGTCTCCAGAAGATCCGTTGTGGGAGAACTGTAAGAACTAGTTGACAAGATACATATCACTACAAGAGCTAGAGAGGAAGCCATGTTTGCATCGCGAAAGGCACTTTTCATTGCCACGATACATGAAACCTATTTCGTTAGAGGCACTTTTCGTTCCATCTTATACCAAGTCTGATTTCTGAACCCCGCGTATATGCACATTTTTGCATGCGTATACGTGGGCTTTGACAGGTACGCATATATACGGGTTTTTAGCAACGCGTATAGACGTGCATTTGATTTTGCACATATACGCGTATTAAATACGCGTATATACGCGATATAAATGGTTGTATATGGGATAAAAGCCCATACATAGCGATTATAAACGATTATACGCGGCAAAAAAGCCCACGTACACGATGTCATAATTTTGAAACGGATGGCCAACCATATTCCCATGGTCCTCGGTACTCGTGCGTGACGAGGTTGCAAAAATCGGTCGGTCTGTCGACTGAAAACGAAACGCCTAAATGGGAAGAACGTTTCTTCCCAACCTACCTACTTAATACTAATTTGGAATCATAAGCCAGTCTCTATATCAGTGTGTTCGAAGAAAGCCAATGAAACACTTTATCACTATAGTATTGCTCAGTATCACTAAAACTACCACCGTGCACTGGCCTTTCCTAATATCTTATAGTGTGTTTGAAGAAAGCTAACAAAACACTTTATCTCTATTCAGTATTGCTCAGTATTACTAAAACTGCTACAGCGGCCTCCCCTGATCTCTAAAGCAGTACATATTTGGTCATCTTTTTACCATTGCTGAAACAAAGTGTTATCCAATTCACAGGACACGCTAAACTTGAACTAATTCAGCTATGTGTCTAGTTGGAATTGCCCCACCCTTTTTTTCTGACACTTCCTTAATCTTTTTGATTTTGGTAAATGTCTACGGTTTCCTGGTCATTGATGACCTTTATCGTCAGCAATCCCGCCCCCGCCTATGACAGAAAATCCAAAAAGGGAAACTATATTAGGCTTGGGGATACCAGACTATGTCGCAGTTATCTTCCAGTGTTGGAGATTAAAGTTCATGGTCCTTGAGGTACTTTTAGCTTTGTACCTCAGTTGCAGAGCATTTCAGTTGAAGGGCAACTGAAACGTCATATTTCTAAAGTTTCAGACAACCACTAGAACAATATTGCTTTCTCAATTAAGACGATTTCTTATAGACCAAATTGACTCGAATTCCGGAGTATGTCCGCCATTCGAGAAATCATTGATAGAAATCGATTCAGTAACAATTGTAACTGGAAAACTTTTAAATTCAAATACTCGTGGGAGAATATGTACGACGTTGTGTTGATTAACAGTCATTCAATATCATATTTGGGCTCGAGAATTAATAATGCGCCGCATTATCTCGAGCTAAAATTAACATTTCAAGATAGACGGTACGGTTGTGGAAGATGTGCACTCTCTTGTTAAGTAATATTATAGAATTTATATTGTTCTGGCCGGGAATTCAGCATAGTCTGTGACCTGACCTTAATTTATTTTTTTTGTACATTGAAAGTCTCTTAACTTTTTAGAAAGCTAAGAAAAACCCTGTGCCTAGCCTGTTGACGTTCCAGGATCCGAGATAGTCGGGTCCGCTTCCTTTTTCGTGTACCTTTCACTTTACCGTCTTCCCCACTATCTGAGAGCCTGGAACAGGCTACCCTCTGCCTACATGTCACCAATTAAAGTAAATATCAAAATTAGAGTTTCGTAGCGAGTGTCTCAGTTCTGATATTGCTAGAGGGGGCTCAAGTTTTCAGTCCAATTTTCTTAGTACAGCTATACCCTAAGGATTGTACCCCAAGTCACTTTGAATTCACCATGCATAGGTTAATTAATTGATTGAAGCTGTCCACGAATAAACTCGTAGCGTAATTGGTACGATACTCTGGCTGGGCTGCGCTCCGTATTTAAACGTTTCTTAAACACTTCCACTCGTTTTTGTCCAGGCTAACTTCGATTATTAACGCCCCCTAGTAGTTGCCATTATGTTTTAGCAATGAATTAAAAGCCACTAAAAAGAAAAAAAAGCTGCTTGGGGAAAGAAGGTTAAAAACACCAATTCGCTTAATTGTTGCATAGTACTGTACGTACCTTATCATTTCGCTACTGTAGTCAGTAGAAGTTGCCAGTCTCGAAGTTTTAATCTGGTTTAATTATTCTTGACGGTTTCGCTCAGGCTTCTGTTCGTCTTTGTTTAATTGTAACAAAAATTTGCCAGACTTTTGTATTAAGTGTGCCTCAGAGAACGGCGTGGACGTCTTCGAATGAGACCCGTTCAAGGAGAAAAACTTTGATTTCTTTGTTACTATATTTTCAGAAAAAAAAGCGCCCCCTCTCGCCGCCCCAAAAGAAAAAAAAAACAGAATCAGCTTTGCTCTGACCTTCTCACCCTGACAGATACCCTAAAAGATTAGAACTTTTGCTCCGCTACAGCCCAAGCTGACAAGATTTTCGTGTTAAACTTTTCAGTAATTTCTGTAATGCATGCGGTTTCGCCTGCGGCATCCTCTCACCAATACTTTACCTCCATCGATAAACAGCAAAATTTTGCTTGAAATATTGGTGTTTAGTGAAGCACAAAGGTCACGATAATTACGATGCATAAAGTTAACAATTTCCCCTTCTACATCTCCAGGACTTTTCCACGAATAACCTTAGCGGGACTAACGAAAAGAATTGAAATTTTAATTTTAGAAAAGGTTATAGTGTCATATCCGTCATTTTCCCGCTAGCTAGCGTCACGACAAGCCTGTATTCGGGGAGGGAAAAACAAGAAAGGACAGGTGAAAGGAAAAACGTTTCTTCCGGCACTCCTCGGGATTAGTATTATTCCGGCAAAATTCCTATTCGTAAAAAGCCAGTTTGTTCCGTGTAACAGTAAATTTCAATGTGCCCCCTTATATGGTTCATCGAGTCGAGGGCAAGTTTATGTGAATGCGGAATCTGCGTTTTCATTTTTTTCTCTCGTCTAAAACAAGCACTAGTAAAAAAAAAAAACTAGGGATAAATCTTTGCATTGACAGTGGCCAGGCCAAGCGAGATCCCCCACGGTGACGACGTTCAAGGCCCCACGCGCGGTACGTGATTGATACTGACATGCGTGTGCCCCGCCCTTTGCACGTATTTTGTGTCACCCGTGCTGTTCACACGCTTCGGAGTTTTTGCTTCCATTTTAAGTTTGGTACTTTACGTACCTTAAATCCAAAAATTGTTTAATCATCCCCACTTTAGTCTCCGGCTAGATTCCCTTCAGGGGAAACCACCTTTTTCTAATTTCTGTGTGGTTTCAGTATGGTTTCTGGGAACAGGTGAAGTAAGAGATTTGTTATGGTTACCCACTCAATGACCTTAAGAATTTTGTTTTTATGTTATATTGTGTTTCAGAAAGTATTTATCTCTGCGCAAAGTGAAATAAGGAAAATATATTGAACCTTAGCTCGTGCGTCATTTGACGTGGTCACATGCCGGTCGAGTCAATTCAATTCATTCATTTTTAACTTATGAGTTTTTTCCACGCAAAAATTAAAAGGAGAAATTTGCTAAGCTATTGTTTTAATAAAATGAGAACGTAAAGATACTGGATAAATCGCGAAAGAGATGTTGTCAAAGAAAGGAAGTGATCATAGAATGTGTTAAATGCGGTCGATCACGAAAACGGAAGTGAACTTGACGTTTACATTAAGAAGGTGCGGTTACCTTACCCAGATAGATCGCTATTGTTGGCATGTTACGCGAAAGGAGTGATATTTGCATGTGCTTGGCATGGTATTTACTTGTCTTGACTCGAGTGTTTAGTTTACAGTGGGAAGCTATTAAGGATTCTGACCTCACCAAAAGGAGGATAGAGTCCATTCGTCACGTTCTAGGGCATGAGAAAAGCGGCTTTAGTCAAAAGTTCAGCTTTAAATACCTTTTAAGTGAACGAGCTGCGAGATCAGTGTTTTTGTGTTGGAAAAAAACGTGCCTTAAGGTTATATATCTGGCTCTCACTTTCGTTGCGTCTTATTGTGCTGCGAGGACAGCCTTTGTTCATCAAAGGAACATGGCAGAAAGTCGGTCGACAAATTTTTTGACTTCTGTAAGGTGCTTTATGGCCATTTGTGGATTGCTACTTTCGCCAGTTTTGTCGAAACCAAGTTACGACGCGAGCAGTATAAACTGTGGCACTACCAAGACTGATTCTTCAGGGCAAATTCATAGTCCAAACTATCCACTTCAGTATCCCACGGAGAAAGAGTGTTCCTGGACTATAAAGATGTCAGAGTTTCAGAAGATAGTACTTGTTTTTGAGATCTTCAATCTCGAACCTACACAATCGAATCGAACAGGCTGTGACAACAGCGGAGACTATGTTGAAGTTTACGAAAATTCGTTAGAATTAATTGGTAGATACTGTGCTGGGGCAGAGAATATCCCCCCGAGACAGATAACGTCAGAAGGCCACATTCTTCGTGTTGTATTTAAGTCAGACAATCGAACCATTTCTGGATTTGGCGGTGGTTTTCGTGCAATATACTCCTCATGTGGCGGGTATTTCACTGAATCCAGTGCAAGCCTTAGTAGTCCAAATTACCCTGTAAGGTTCCCAGTAGATGTTACGTGCCAATGGCAAATAAGGGTGCCTACGGACTATGTCATTGAGCTTCGTTTCAACGACTTTAACATGGATGGGAAGTATCCCTGTAATGTTGATTATGTGAAAGTTGTGGATGGTTTAAATAGCAACAACACGGAAATTGGTCACTTTTGTTCCACAAGACTGCCAGGAAAATATGCCATACGATCTACTGGTAACACAATGTCTGTTGAGTTTAAATCATACAAAGAAAGTAATTCCCGAGGTTTTTTTGCTCATTATAACCGAGTGCCTCATTGTACAGGCTTTCTTGAAAGTGATTATGGAAGGTTCACTTCACCGGGCTACCCTGGCCCTCGCAAAATTGATAGGAATTGTAACTGGTTTATAACCGTCTCAGAAGGAAAGATAGTCTCACTGATGTTTGATTTTTTTGAGGTAGATTCTATGACATCCACATTTTCTACCTCAGGAGACTGCAGTCAGGACTATGTTGACGTTTTTGATGGAACAGGTGACAATGATAAATCCCTTGGTAGATTCTGTACAGTTAATAACAAACCTGTAGGAATGGTTCGATCAAGTGGAACACAGATGCTTGTCAGACTTAAAACAAGTTTCCAAAATCAAGGCAAGGGTTTCCTGGCAAGTTATTATGGAGTAGATCCAGAAAACTCTTTTGAGGGCTGTGAAGTGTTTCATAACCAGTTGCTGTTTACTTGCAAGAATGGGAAGAAAATTCAGTGCCAGTTAAAATGTGATGGCACAAATGACTGTCCAGACGCCTCAGACGAAAGGCACTGCAAGACTCTTGCAGTTCCTGCTACCAAAACAAATAATGACATTCGGAACTATATTATTGTGATTCTCTCTGTCACTGGTACTGCCTTGGCAGTAGTCTGCATTGGGTTTATTATAGATCGGATGAGAACAAAGCGAACAGCACGTCCTAGAAGACGTAGGCAAAGAAGACGTCGCGCTAGGATCTCTACTGCTGATGATGCTCCCTTGACTGATGAGCCCTCCTCCCCTCCGCCACCTTATGAATTTGCAGCAGATGGAAGGGCTTGTAACATCTTTGATGTTGCTTTTATTCAGCCTTGTCATGGTGGTTCTCATCCGCTGAGGGGTGCAGGAGCTAGGGGAGCCTTGACCAATGAAAGCCAAAGTAGCAGAAGCAGCCCATTGGAAAACCAAGGTTCAGCAGTGACTGGTCATGAAAATTCTCCTCCTACTGCTTCTGGAAGAGAGGAGGAAGACAGAGAGGCTCCTATTGTGAATGCAACTGGTGGTACAGTCTCTCCAGCAGAATCTGTTAGCTCTTTTAATGACACTGTTCCGCTAATAAGAAGTTATGATAGTGTGATTGAATTATGAGAGCCACAATAATAAGCCACACAAGTTAGTTATTACAGTCAAAGCTGTGTGTAACAGTCACTGCTCTTTACAGGTCAGCTTTACCGTAACAGTAAAAATTTCTGTGGGTGTGACCCATTGTTTTCATTGGCAAGTCTTAACAGTCATTACAGTCACGTTCTTTCATGTGATCACAATTCAGATGTCAAATTAAATTCCACCAACAACAAAATTTGTCACCAATATTACTATTGTTAAATAATATTTTTATGTTGCCATTAACTGAGTGTCTTTGCTTTGTCTTGGATCTAGATTATCAAACCTGTGTTGTTTCGTTGTACCTTTGTTTTAAAGAATTAAGAACATGATGCTTATGCAATGTTTTTCGTTTAGGATAAGATCATAGATGAAATTTTTCCAATGGCATTAATGAATAGAGATTTTTGTGAAGAAAGTTTCCATAGAAACTGTAATCATTATATTCAATCTTTTTGTTTGTACGGGTTGATAAGTAAGACCACAATATTGAAGGCCAAATGCAAGATGCCGTGTGAGCCAATTCATCTTACAAGTAGAGTTTATTAGTCTATAGTTCAAGCCTGCAGAACAGGTGCTTTTTTGCGTTTTGTAGGCAAACAAAAAGCAGACATGGAGTGGAAGACAAGTGTGACTGGGGAAGGCACAGAAAAAATAACTGAAATAGGATAATTATTCTTTTCTGCACCTTCTCTGTCATGGGTGTCTCGCCCTCCACATCCGTTTTGGGCTCTCCTGAAAAACGTCAAAAAAATAGCACCTGTTCTGCTGGCTAGTCTAGCATCCTAGCCTTGGTTCCCAATGTACACTCAAGTGAAAAATAGTTATTTGAATAATTCAAATGTTTTTCAGTTGAGTGTACATAGTTTGAAAATGTTGTCACATCTAAGGTGTAAACTTGAAACTATTAGACCCAATGGATTTATGGGTATAATCTTATTAGCATGCTCTTTATAATATGCTGGCCTGTTACCCTTCATTATAACAAGCTCCATATGCAAATTCACTCTCTCAAGATTGAAAGGGCTTCAGTCGTTTTGGCAAGAAAAATTATTTTTTCTCAGGTGACACCAACAAAATAGAAGCCACAAAACATGTTCTGCCCATGTTTCATCTATGCCATAACAGCACTGAAGAAACACTAAAGCCATAAAATTCATAAATGTGTGTTTATGTGATTATAACGGAAAATGTATTTCAATGTTACCATGTGCACTTCCCAGGAAGCCCTCTCATTATTCATAGTTTAAGTTTTTTAAGGTGACAATGTTTTTACCATCAAGTGAAATCAAGTGCGTTTTACAGTAGGTTTTTTGGTTGCATACATTCTTGGTAGAGTCAAAAACCATTTGAGTTTACAACACATTTTTAGCTGTTCATGCAAAACTGAACATGCAGATTCAAATTCTCCAAACTGATTTCCATAAATTTACTTAAAGAATTGGTTTGGAGAATTTGACAAAAGATCATATAATTCTCCCTTACATGATCATTTTAACAAGTCTCATTACCTTTACTTTTGATAATGTATCGATACTGTTAGGAGAAAACTGATGCTGGTCACTGAGGCCATTTTTGCAGCTTCTACACATAATATATATTGAATAATAGTATAGATTATTTATTTCACAAAATTTTAATCATCTACAGAGGTTGATTTAGTAGGTTATATACTCTTACTTAAAATTGTTGCAAATCATTTTGTTATGTAATGGTTCAGTTTTTTTCAGTTTCAGAAGCAAATCATTTGCTATTTAATGGTTCAGTTTTTTCAGTTTCAGAAGCAGTGTTAAAGTTATTGTTAATGTTTTAAACATTTTTGTGTCAAGCTTTATTAAAAGATGATATTGGTAAAAGTTTAGCTTAAGAATTTTCACAATATTTATTTTGAGGTTTGAATGGTTTCCAACCACATTTCACTTTTTGTCAACTATTATATTAAAGTTTATTGTGCGTATTTAAATTATATAAATTATTTTATATTATTGTACAAGATGAGCAACTTGGGTAGCAATGAGTAATAAACTCATATTTGTGAAAACAACCTTTGTTCTCTTGCCTTACAAAATAACTCTATTTTACATATGACATATTTAAAATATTACTTGAAATGTTTAAATGACTTGAATTCAATAAATGACTGAGGGGTGGTAAATCGTCTTAGCTTTCTACCTTAAAGTGAGTAATGTTTAAATCCCTTAGGAGACCAAAACAAAAAAACAAAAAACCCCAGAGCATTAACATTCATTTTAATGAGGGTTCTGTTCATTACAGACAGTTCGAATAAAACTTTTTAAAAACTGTTTCTTGCAAGAAACGATTAAAACTATCTTATAAATTAATCCACCACAAACCACAAGAGCATACCAAGCTTTCCAGTTGATTTGTGAGCATTATCAACAATTAATAAATATTTACACAAGTTTTTCATATTAATTTGTCCCAGGAAGATTATTTTCACTGTAAAAAAGAACAAGGTAGCTAATCAGAAACCCCAATTCCAATCAATAGGTTGTTTTGTCACAGTTATGGTGTAGCACTGTACAACATCTCCTTCTTCAACATCTGTGAATTTCTCAAATGATAAGCCACATTCTGTTTCTCTTTTGGCCTGGCTAATGTCATCCTGTCCACGCTTCATGGTTGATAACTTTCCTTTTGAGAGAAAAAGGCATCATAATTATTCATCACTTTGAAAAAATATATTTGACTAACAAAATTGAACAGTATTCTTGAAGATCCCTTGGGAAGTAAACAGTAGGAGTAGTGCCTGACCATAATGGTATTCTCTATGGCTGGGGATCCCTGAGTTTTCAAAATAACTTCAAGAATCTTTGGAGAACTGGTCTGTTTTTTTTTTTTTTTGGATATGAAATCACGAATTTCTGGGGGTTAACCAACGGGCTGGTCCCTGATTGGACATTCCATGGGGTTCAAATTCAAGACCATAAAAATTTAGGGAATCTTCAAGAGTTTGAATTGGAGGACATTGTCCTCCAAACAATTTCCTGAGACATCGATAGGAATTCCCGAGATATGGCTCCCAGACTTTAAGGAATTCTCGATCTCACACATTCAACCATCAGTGCATGTAATAATTCTATGTGCTTTATATAGTCAGGCCAGGTTTGGTTACAAGGGCAATTTTCCCAGCCTTCTCCACAAGCTTCGGGCCCAAGGCTTAAGTAGACAAGCAAGAGGCATGAGAGCTGGAGATAAGCGAGAAGTGTGAGAGATAATGGGAACAAGTGCAGAGTGCAAGTGGAAAGTTACGGGAAGGAAAAAGAGAGAAAGGGGAAAGCTTCTTTCATCAATTCACATCACTCCTTTCATTCCTGCTTTCCTTAATAATTATGGAGCTTAAGCAACAATGATGATGGCAGCAGTGAAAACGTCTCTTAAAAAAATAATTCATGCTGTCTCAAAATTCATTGCTCTCATTTCAAGGCGTTTAATTTGTCAAATGTTGGTGAATTTTTCTGGAGAAGAATTCTAAAGGATTGTATCAAAGTTTTGAAAAACAATAAAAAAAATGGTTGTCTTGTAAAATGTCCTCCAGAAAACGTTAAATTGGTCAGTTTCCTGTCGCTGTGGAGCTGCTACAAGGGCAAAAAATATACAAAAAAGTGTGATGCACCAGCTGCAAAGTTGTTGTTTTGCTTATCTAAACCTATTGCTTTTTTCCCGTTCTCATATCGCTGTCCTCACCGTCATTGCTTAAAGCTCCCTATTAACTCAAATATCCCCCAAAACAGTCAGGTAGTGAGCAACTGTAAACCTATTGCTTTTTTGCCGTTCTCGTTGCTGTCCTCACCATCATTGCTTAAGCTTCCTATTAACTCAAATATCCCCCAAAATAGTTATAGTGAGCAACTGGGGATAAAGCAGCAATTTTCCTTTTATAGGAGGATGGCAATGCCAGTGCCAGTCTCCTGGAGATTACAAGGTACATGTAATTCCAAAAGAATTCCAGGTTTGAACAATGTAAGAAAAAGATACCCACTTACCATCAAAGATAACCTTGCCATTCCTTGTTATTCTGTATAAGCTATCCCGAGCAAGGCTCCCCATTTTCACTCTGCAGCCAGCCACTACAGCCTTGCGCATGCCTGTAAGGTGAAACACTTTACGTACTAATGCTTCACCAGCGACTGTTTCTTCTTTAGATGGAGGAAGTCTGTTTGAAAGCTCATCCTGAATGCAAGGTATTTAAAATGAACAGTGCAAACTGTAATCTAATCAACTTTAAATGGGTTTAGTAATGGCACTCGGGGAGTTAAGGGTTGGCCTTTATCTGCTTGCACTTCAGTTCATGCACATGCAGTGACAAGCAGGCCCACACTGTTCAGATGTTGGATAGTGCTATTTACAGGTCAAATCACTATCCAGCAGATAAGTACAAGTATTAGGAAAACCAACTGGGCTATTCAGAGGATAGAGATTTATCCAGGGAATAGTGTAATCCACCTTTTGAACAACTGGGGCAGAACAATTTTCCACATTATCTTTTCATATCTTATCCATTATGAGGTGCAGCCAAGATTATTAAGACTGACTTCATGGGGTCTGGAATTTGGATGAAACACAAATGAAGAAATGCTTCTCATGATCAACAATTCTTAAAGAAATTCAAAATTTACAACATTAATTTTAGAGGGCAATAACCCTTATGGCAGTGACTCTTCATGAGAGTAAAATGATGAAGGACAAGGAAAGAATAAGCTGTACTGACAGCTTTGTCTCAAGTTTCTTTTACTACTGGGCCCTTCGATGGCCGATTAGTGCTAACCTCATGGGGTTGAATTTTAATCCGGGTTTCTTTTTCTTTATTTCAAAAGCAATAATTCTCCAATATAATTTTCTCTATTCTATTTACATCATCCTCTCAGAAAATTGTAGACAAAGAGAATTAAACTGAATTTGCTATTTAAGTTTTCATATCAGAATTCAAATTTCAGCCCAACCCTGGGTGTTCTTTATCCAGCTTTGAACAACCTGGCCCAATGGAGCAGAATGATGTTTACAAAAACAAACTAAAGTTTGCTAAGTTGGGTCTATAGTCCTGGCTTCAAGACCCCCTGAGCAGAAAAGTTGTGACAAATTCTTTTACTGTGTATGGTGTCTTCCTTTGTCAGTAGACTGACACAAAGTATTGTTCATGCACTGTCTCATACAAACCTTGATATCCTCCAGCAACTTGTAAATAATCTTGTGGTGTTTAACACTGATACCAAGCTGTTTTGCAAAGGACTGCGTTTTCTTTGACATCTTTACATTAAAGCCAAAAACCACACCTAATTGTTTAAATGACAAATAAAAACATTAACTTTCAAAGACAATAGACATTATGATGGAAAGCTTTAATCAACAATCTGGAATTAGAAAATTAAGGTATTCATTTCCAACCCTTTTTGAGTTATTATTCTACTGATGAACTGTTACAACTTTAATATATAGATATTTCAAGCAAAAACAATTTGCCATCTGTCCCCTCTGAAATGAATACACTTGCAAGAAGCATTAGCAACATTTTCTTTCTTTGATTCCCTTGGACTGCTATTATATTGTTATTACAATGTATCTACTTTTAACCCCTAGATTCTTGACTTCATCAGTCAAATGGTTTTGATTTTTATTTTTGGAGGTATGACACTGAAAAATAGGTACTGACAAAGTGTGCAGTATGGCATTTCTACACTCATTTCTCAGAAGTCATTCCAGGGGGAACCCAAAGGTGGTGTCGTGAAATATTGGCTGTTTTCTCAGACTAGGTATGCAGCTAGATAAACTTACCTTTAAAGGTGTCTGCTAGTTTGATATCATTTTCACTGACTGCTCCTACCTCAGCGCACAAAACATTTAAGGAAATTTTCCTTGAATTATAAGTTTGTAGAGCATCATTGATGGCTTCTATTGAACCATCAACATCACCTACACAGTAAAGAAAATAATTCAGTATTCAGTGCATGTGTAGCTATAAAGGAAAATATGATATTTTATACCAATGCCAGCTCACGCACCCTGTGAGTCTCATACCTTGCGGACTAAAGACGTCAATCTCACGCATCAAGGACAATTTCTCACACCTTACTAACAAATCTGGATGACCTCTTTATTTCTTAGCTACAATCAGGGACAAAAGTAGTTGACACACTTGTTTAAAATGGGTGCTTTTAACAAACATTTAATTCATTTATTATTTCATTCCTTTTAAATGCCGTAAATCCCCTCAACCCCCGAATCAATGTTGTCTGAAGTAAAAAAAAGACTTGAGGGTCCAAAATTCAACATTGATTTTGCAGGGAAGGAGCTGGGGTAGACAGGGGAAGGGGATAAGTATATCTGTTGTGGTTCAATTTTATCCTTGGGGTTTTAAACTCATTATCATACATTACCATCCACTATGCAAAAAGGGGCCATTTTACTGAAGTGTGTCAACACTTTTGTCCCTCATTGTAACTACAGTGATATGTACAAACCAACCTTTTATAACTACATTTAACTTGTCAGAAGAATCATAAATTCTGTTTGGTTCCTTTGGTGCAGGATCTCCTTTGTAAGTCAGCTCAACGTCCTCTAGCAAATTATGCCCAAGATCTGATGATAGTCTGTTTTCATGAAGTACTGATTTTCTCTTGTTTATAAAGTCATGAGCCTCTTGCTGGGAAAAAATAATGCCAAAAATTTAAAATTTGTGCTACGTAAGAAAATAACTTTCCCCTTTACAGTCAACTCTCTGTAAGACAGACACCTTTGGGACTGGGGGATACTTGGGTAATTTTTGCTGGTATGTGCTGCTGGCCTCTCGGAGCCCCTACCCCATTACTGTCTATTCTGTGGCCATCTTAGTTACTTTTTGGCAAATATGTAATTTTTGCAATCTCAACTTAGTCACTTTCTTTCTTTCTCAGGATGAAATTTTCTAAACTAGGTTGATTCTCAATTTCCATTGTCTACTAGCCCTAAATACATGAATAATTTAACAAGAAAATTGAGATTTAACCTAGGTAAAATATTTTTAACCTGAATTTAATTTCAACCTGTAACATACCCACACACAAATTCTCTAATCCCTGATCCTGATACGCAGTCTCTATACATTTTCTTGAAGGTGATCATTAATTTTTATTAATTCTCATTACCTAAGTAATTTTCAATGCTATGAAAAAGTTGATGTTGATTACTCTGATGGTTTAAGAAAGCTTTCAATAATTTACCGCACATGCCAAACAGAGTGCAAAACAAAACAAAACAAACTTTATGTTTTTGTCTGTGAGGTCAGAAACATCACCAAACTCTTTTGCTTAAGAACGCCCTACAAAGAGAAATGGCAGAAAAAGTGACTTCATGTACTCACCTCTGACGTGACCTGAAAAACTTCATCCCCTGCTGACGGCAGTTCTCTCCACCCTAACACCTCCACAGGGATGGAGGGTGTGGCTTGTGACAAAACTTTGCCTTGACTGTCATACATCATGCGCACCTATCAGAGACAGCCATAATATTATTGATACAATGATGATGATGGTGACGATAGTAACAATAATAGTATAGAGATATAATAAATCTTTATTTTCTCTTGGCAGTATCTGCAGTACTAAATCATGCTTAGTTGGACGGTGCAAACAACTAAAACACAGGATTCTCATTAAGTGCCAGCGAGTGGCTAAAACATTGGCTACTTTGAATTTTGAGCTGCCTCTTTGGGGAAAAAGGGTACAGTGAGAGAGTTAAAGCCTGAAATCACCTTCAGCGATTGATTGCCAAGCTCCCTACTTTTATATCTGATCTGTCTACTGTCCTGGAAACAAACAATTTAAACTAAAACATAACAATGTTACATTTTAGTGTAAGAATCCCCAGGCAGGAGGCCTACCAGTTGGCTATTTTACAAGCATAGCAATGGAGGGAGTTGAAATTGAGACTACCACGAAACAAAGTCAGCTACACATGTACTGGTCAAAGCAGGACTCCATATTAGAAATCTAGCATTTCTATTGGCCGCATGACCTAATCACTTGACTGTTATTAACAACCATGAATTAAGACAAATGCGGTTATAAAGAGTTACCTTAGCAAAGGTGTCATCGGCAAGAACAATGCTGCCTTTCTTTAAGGTTCCATGTTTAACAAGGACTGTTGCGATAGCACTGAAAAAACGTTGGACAGTAATTGTCACAGAGTAATGATGGTATTAATGTATGTGACCAACATCGGGCATACTGCATACACATGTTCCAGTCTTCCCAGCCTGGACTTTCATGACAAATAAATGTACTCCTAACTTCAGCAAGTCGTAAGGTCTTTTATAATGTATTGATATTAAGCATGGATATTAATTTGTCAAGATGTACCCTTTTCCTTTGTCCTTTCTTGACTCCAGAACAACTCCTTCTGCAAGACCATCTCTCTTAGCCTTCAGATCATGCAATTCTGCGAGGGTTGTGATTGCTTCTAACAGTCCATCAAGATTGGTTCCCTTCAAGATGAAAAGAAATAGTGGTTTCCTATAAAAACTGTTAATAGAAATTATATGTCAGTTAATTCCTAGTCAAGAGTTCCCCTCAGTAATAGAGAGGTTACAAGAATTAATGAAATGATCACCAAAAGGAAAGTAGTTTGACCTGTCAACAAATTCTCTTGACTAATTTTTCAAGTTAATGTATAGAGATCAGTCTGGAATATTTCTTAGTGGATATTGGGCTTAAAGGGCTTTAATAACTAGGAAAATTTTTGGTGTATGGATATGTTGCAGCTAATTTTTTATCTCAGGTTATTTTTAGTTTTTCTTTGTTTCAACTTCATTAGCATACATTACCAAACCCAAACACAAAAGACAAAGAAAAATTCCCTGAGATAAAAAATTAACTACAGGTTGTACAACAGGTATGTGGTTGGTTATGGTAGGTGGTAACACATGGATTAGCTTCTCATGCAGACATTATTTTGACTTGTCACGCAATCCTCCCCAAAGAACGTCTGCTGAAATCAGAGTGGTTCAAAATGTACAGACCATTATTACAGCACACTCTAAAGCTTGAAAAAAAAATTGCCCGATACATTTTCCAGATTTCAACTTGGAAAGTTTTTTTTATTGAAAAATATATTTATTATGAAAAGTCTGAACGATTTCCGTAAAATGGTGGAAACCAGTGTGGATCTAGTACCTTTAAGGCTGACACTTCAACTGCCTGAATATCTCCTCCAAATTCCTCAAGTTGTATTCCATGCTGAAGAAGCTGCTGCTTGACTTGTTTCTGCATAATTATTATTATCAGAAAATGTTAATGAGCGTGGCAATTTTGTGCATGACCTATTAATTCTACCAAATTCAAACTTTGCAAACAACACCACAAATGTCTATGCCAACATATTATTACAATTAAACAGTTTTTTTCTAAATCATTTTCCAACATACCACATTGATTCTTGGCTTGTCCATTTTATTAATTGCCACAATTATTGGAACTGCAGGTAACAAAGAATACACAGTTTAAAATCCATAAACTTTTAAATTCAAAATGTTGAATCACATAATTATTATTCACAACTCTGAATTTAAAGTACACAATAAAATGAAAGCTACAGTCTCAGCTGAATGTTTTTTGAGCAAGTTATAATTTCAACTACATGACTTTTGTACTTCTTTTAGCCCATATATAGACTGTGGTTCTAATTTTAACATAACAGCGTACAAAATCAAATCCTAAAACTGTCAACTCCTGAAAAAACAATCTTGCTAATCATAATACATTTGTGTGGTGTAGTTTGAGTTTTATACCATTCTATAGTGGTTCTACACAATAACTTTTGAATTTAGATGACATCCTTAAAGGTGACCATTTACCAAAAGCTAAAAGCTATTGAGCAGTTCACACTTCTCTGACAGGACCATATATTATTTTTATTTTTTTCTTTTCTTATCAGAAAAGATTAAAATCTAAGACTGAAATAGCGCATATTCATCTAATTTCATGGACTCCTTTGTGCTGATGGTCTAATACCTCTTGCATTAGTGGCATGCTTTATGGATTCCACAGTCTGTGGTTTGACACCCTCATCTGCTGCCACCACAAGAACAACCACATCTGTAATATTAGCTCCTCTAGCCCGCATGGTTTCAAATGCTGCATGACCAGGCGTATCAATAAATGTTATTGTCTTCTCTGCACCAGGGACTTGGACTATAAAAAATGAAGATAAAAATGAAATGATGATAATTATCTTTAAGTTACATGTGAAAGTGAATGGCTAGTCTGTGAGGCCAAAACAGCCCATATTAGCTCCTTGTTTCTGTAGTACAAAACACGTAAGGCTCAGTTAATGTCAAACATTTCATGTACCAAACCTTATACCTATTTACATGTAGGTCAACCCAAATGACACAAGTTTGATGGCTGACCCAGACATCAAACTTAATTAGTCGTACTCAATTCAATACAATGGGACAGTACCGTTCAAAAGTAAGTTGACAATCCATTGCGAGTCTCGATTCTCGACTCAATTCGCAATTCTCGATTCCTGCGCGAATAGAGAATCGAGAATCGAGAACAAGCTATCAAGAGTCGAGGATCGAGTCTCGCAGGACAACTAGAAAACAAAAGATTCACCCTAATTGATTTCCCGATAATTTTACAAAGACCTAAGCCATAACACAACACGGCATGGTTACATGTATATTTGAATGATTCGCACAAGCGACTGTATGCTCGAAACAAGACTAATTCTCAATTCTCGTGAGGATTGAGAATTGAGTGTCAACTTACTTTTGAACGGTACTGTATTTAAAGTTTGATGTTTGAAGTTACGGAGACGCTCCACAGTTGAAATTACCATGTGGACCACTCAATCTTAATTCATGGGTCAGCCCAAATAAAATATGTTGGACTCAATTGTTATTGACTCAAATATCAATATTTTCACGTACTTAATTGAAGGGATTAAGTCTGGTACATGAAAAGTTTGACGTCTGAACTGGGCCTAAGAGTATGAATATCAATGTACATCCAGGGCTGTCAATAACATTGCTTTCACTGGAATCCAATATGAAAATTTTAATGAATTTTGTACATCACTTGCAGAAAACAGAAGGGCACGCAGATTTTCTAAAATTAAGTAAATGTTCTAGACAGTTTCACTTTTAAACTTATTTTACATTACTGTAGGCCTTTTACAAACTATATATTGTCACTGCCTACCACAAAATTCTAACATGTGCTTCCTGGGGGTAGTGTCAATCAAATATTTTTTTTTCAACCAATTGCAAGTCTTTCTTTCTACAGTCATATCATTCATGGTATTTGAACATTTTCTTTCTTTAGTAGTTAGTACATTTTTGGCAGTTGATAAATAAAGAAATAGTAATTTCAAACTGTACTGCCCAATAATCAAATTTGTTATTGTTGATTGCCTTTCATTTTACCTGAAAATGCACCAATATGCTGAGTTATTCCGCCAGCTTCTCCGGCAGCAACAGATGACTTTCGTAAAGTGTCTAGTAGCGTTGTTTTGCCATGGTCAACATGGCCCATTATTGTTACCACAGGTGGTCTTGGCAGAAATGCTGAGCTGTCATTGAGTGATAATGTAGCATGTATCATAAATTACATCTTCACAAAAACATCCTAATGAGCACAGGTTTTATAGGCCACTGCAAAAAGTACTTTAATAATATTATAGTACCATTATTATTCTTAAATTGCCAGTGGGCAGAACTTAATGTAAACCTGAAGTTCACATTATCGTTTGCTCTTTGCATGAAATGCACAAGCAATTGAAGGTTTCTAACCTAGAATTCAGGGTAAATAAAGGAGACTTGTACTCGAAGCTGTGGCTTTTTTTCTGATTTAAGTGTCCTTCCAAATTATTTCTCTTGTTGCCAAACTCCTGAACGTAATGAAAGACAAAAGTATTTATAATAAATAAAGTATACTTTAGCCAGCGTTGAACATTATTTTGCTCAAATACGCTGAGTATGCAAATTTTCAACACACTGACCCACATTACACATGCAAATTGTCCACAAAAGATAATGTAAAAGTAAGGTTTACACGAAGTACTACCCAAATGACAATTTTGAGAATATAGTGGTATTTTTTGCAGTCGCCTATAAAATAACTCAACATCAAATAAAAATTATACGGGTAAAATAAAAAAACTCTGTGTGTCATTGCGACACCATTTTCAAGGTTTAAAAAGTTTCTTTTCTGATGACACAAAAACATTGTTCGATTTTAATTTATCAGTACTATTTTTTACCTGTTTTTGCACAACAGCCTCATTATCATATACAATACCACTGGTACGGTGCTGCACGCAAACAATTTGGGTTTATTTAGCAAATTCAACACGTACCTAGCTCAAGTGAATTAAATTTTTATAATATCAGTACATGCTATTGTACAACATCTTCAAAAAATTACAATATACTGTTTAGCACGTAAAAACCTTATGGTCGAGTCCCATCCTCACTCATTTTAACAGTCTAGTAACAATCATGGGACTTGAGGGGAAAATTACATAAGTTTACAGTCATCTAATAGTGGTTCCATTTTGTCAAATGTAACTAACTATAAACCAATCTAACTTTGTCAAGTTACAGACCTTGCTTCATGCATGGTGTCCAGGTGAATGGGGGTCATATCATGTTCCAGTACCAACAGCTCAGCCAGATCAGGTGAAAGTACTAAAAAAGATCATACATATAGTACAGTCAAAGTTAGAACATGTAGATAACTTTGTCACAAGTTAATCCATCCTCATAACAGCAGCAATGGGTCTACACTGTAGGTTATTCAATCCCACGATCTGACGGATTCATTTTATTGTGGCTTCAAAACTGGAATTGATACTGCAGAACTTTGCATCTATGTGGTGATTGCAAATTTGCAATTTTAGTTCCATTAAATTCAATTTAATCACCCAAGCCAAGCCTTAAAAATACTTTAATATTATTCTTTCATTCTGTACAGTGATAAGCAAATTCAATATTGAATCTTGAAACTAGAAGATTCTCTTTCACATGAATAGATTCAAGATCAAGAAAAAAATGGAATGTGGCTGACTAATCCTCTTTTGCATCAAACAATGATTATTATTAATATTTTAATAAAAGCACTTGTTGATACCTGTGTGGAATCCATTGGGTAATTCTTCTCCAAGGTCAATCAACAGGTCTGCTAGAGAAGCTACATGTAAGAGCAAATAACAAATCAATTAAAGTGAAACTTTAATTTCAACTTGATATGGAAATAAACACAGTAAAACTCTAGCATAAATAAAATTACTGCTACCCAGGCAGGACACAATTTTTCTCTGGCAAAGAAATATATACAATGTAAGCAGTACTTGGCATTAATGGCACCTCCTTATAATCATTTATACAGTGTATGGGCTAACCTGGATTGACATCCATTTCTACTCCAAGCTGTCGTATGGTCATGTCTGGTCTGATAACAACTGACTTCTACAAAATTTAATGAAACAATGAAACGTACAGAGAGTTGGTTTTTGCTTTACATTGTTTCAGGTTATAATAATGATGAGTATTGCACAAAAGAAAAGAAAAATCAACCTGATTGAGATTAAAATACTTTAGACCGGAAAGAAGCACAACCATAAAACTATGATATATTCATATAATTATTTCAATCAAAAAAAATTATGGAACATACAAAAGCATTATTTTAAATGTGGAATGTTTTGGTTGTACCGGATCTTTTGCTGTCCTTGGGGGTAATGTATGTTGCCATCTGAACTGTACCACTGTCCTTGAATAGCTAAGAAACTAAAATAAAGAAAAACAGACTAAAACTTAATTATGAACTCAGGCTACTGCAGCCTAGCTATAACCAATATAAAATGGCAATGAAGTAGAATGAAAAGGTCTGAGGACTCTACATTGTACATTCTTATTTCATTTATTTCAATGATCCCATACAGAATACTATCAAACAAATGAAATCTAAAGAGGTGAAAAAATGCTGAAATACCGAGTGAAAATATCACAAAAACTACTTTGATCCCAAAGTTTAAAAACTAGAATGTGGATTCAGATACCATGATAAGTAGAACTGTTACGGATTTTATAGGTCATACAGAGCAGGTATTAGAACAAAATAACATATTTTGGTCTAAAATCGGCTAAGGGTTTAGAGAACCCACACAGCATCCACTTACTGGATACCAAAAACAGGCCAGCAAGTATTTTTTTCTTTTCAGAAACAACAATGTCCAACCAAGCCTTTGGTTGGGTTGGACAAAATATCAGAAAAATTGTTGGAAATACATTATGTCAATACCATACTTAAAATATTTTGGTCATGTTTGTCATTGTCCAAACACTATGACAACAAAGAAGATGCTGTTTGCAAAGTCGAACTGTCCATAATAACAGGTCCCATGGATAAATATCACAGAACTTAAGAGTCTTTTAATAATGAACAAGCAAAGAGGTGTACGCTAGATAAGAGTGGTTTTACTGCATTGGTTGACCAAGAAGTCATCAATTGATGCAACTCCACAGTACTGTGAAACCTTGATTTAACAGAGTGCCAAGGGACTGGGGAAATTAGTTTGTTATATCGAGGGTTTATTATATCAAAAACCTTGATTTACTGCGCTTTTCATAAACACGCGCACTCTGAAATTCAAAAACTAACTGACGTTTGCATTTTTCGCTGCTGTCAATCATCTTAATGGACCTCTTAGGAAACAGAACTTTGCTTCAACAGGTTCAAAAGGTCAAGGTTTGTGATCTGTGATTGGTGGATTTCGATCCATATTTTGTGTGTTTCTGTGTTTCAAGGTTCATTGCTTGTGATCGTAATTATGATTGACGGCAGCCAAAAATGCAATTGTGAAGGCTGCTTTTAAATTTTAGAGTTCGTGTGTTTGTAAAAAGCGCAGTAACGAATTTTTGGGAAAACAACCAAAATGTTTGTTGTATGCAGGTTTAGTAATAATAAATTTTTATTGCTCAGCATTCCTGGATCTGAACAATCAATTAACATTTTCTTTTCTCAGTAAAGAGCTGTACAAAGCTACGGTGCCAGAAACTCAAGAACAGGCAAACAAAACTGGGTGAAACTGCTATACATATAAATTTTACCCCTGATGGTCTGTTTTGCATTCAATTTTTGTCACATGTTGACATACAGCTGTATATTCGTTATACGGAGGTACATTTTATGTTTGCCCTTCTGGATTTGTTCGTTATAACAATGATTTCGTTAAATCGAGGTTCATTATAATTATCGAGGTTCTGTTCCATACATTTCAATACTACTTTGGATGGGCTGAAGAAAATCGTTTGTTGTGCCCAGGACTTCGTTATGTAGAGGTTTGTTAAATTGAGGTTCATTGTAACAAGATCACTGATTGGAGGATTTAAACTGTACTGTCCTGCACTATAACTTTCAACTTCTTACAAGGGACATGGATCTGCATGGGTGGTTAGGGGCAATTAAGGAGCCAATTGAATTTGACAATATACAGCCACAAAATGATCATACGTCTTAATTGGACTTGGTATTTGATCTGTCCAGTCATTATGTCCGGGTACAGGTAGGCTTAAAAAAATTGTAAAAATAAATTATTTTGTATTGTAGTCGGACATTTTCTGAAAAATATTGAGGGGTGAGAACTCTGCAGTCTCATTTAGCCTAAAATTTGCCAAAATATACCTGTGTCAACTTATTAATATTATTACTCACCTTAGAACAATCATTCTGGTAATAACTTAGGAAAAACTTCCAGCTGTTGGTGACTGGAACTGTGGAAATTCCTTTCTGACAAAGACAGCCACAGATGACCTTAACAATAAATAATAATGATGGTGATTTTTAAATTGTCTATACTTCTATGCATACACAACTTAAACAGTACAGGGCTATCATAAGATTTTAACTTGACAGGTATATGCAATTAGGCAGGGAATTGAAAAGCAATCAGATATCAGAGGACATACCCTATCGGATTAAGAATCCTACATAATAAATAAATTTCAATTTTAGAAAAATACATTAAATAATTTTGATTAGGACTTTACGAAAATGTGTTATTTGTGTTTCCACCTTGGGGTAAAACAGAACCTGCTGCTATGAGCAAAAGAATGTACTCAACACTTTTACAATTCCCTTCAGACAGGGGATCAATGGGCCATTCCATTCCCCTCCCCCTCCCTATTGAGGGGTCATACTGAATACCCCCTTGGAAGCATTTTTCAAAATGGCCATCCCGGAGGATTTTGGTAAAAATCCCCCCCCCCCCACCCCCCAAGAAAAAGTAAACCATTTTAAAACCCCTTAGGAAATAATAATATTGGGGAGAACCATTTCATTATCACTCAGCATAATGGTGTAGCTAGAGGCTAGTAACGTCTATAGAGACTAGGACTGTAGTTTTAGATAATTTTGTACTGCTCAATAAAATTCATGAAGTCTCTTGTATCTTTTAAATACGAGACTTGTTTCTACTCTATTGGCTGAATGAATCGATCTACAAATGTAGATATCCGCTGTGTAGGGCCATCACACCCTGATATCATAGGTTTACCGACAGGCGTCGGTTTGTAAATCTTTGTAAGTGTGTAGAAAATTAATAAGGAAACGTGGAGGATTAGGCGTAAGAGATGGCCATTTGGCTGTCATATCATCAACGTGGCCTTCTGCTTAACTTTTCTGGTTGTGTTTTCAACCATAGGTTGAGTGAGGGGTTGATAATTAATATTTCTCTCATTTAGCAAAGCTAAACCCTCGTTGATCTTATTTTTTCAGCTCACCATGAGCGGATGTGGTTCCCCCGTCTGTCCTTTTGAGTATAATGGCTTTGTCATGCATGCGACAATTGTTTGAGTGCTTTTTGCTCACCGGGTGTAAAACGTTTCTAACGCCACGGAAGGCTGAACTGGTGGATTCCAGTCAGATTTCATGTGAGATGTATGTGGCTCACTTTCTTTACTGTAATATATGTACTGGAGGTGCATTCGTCTCACAATGAGATTAAAATACACTTGATGATTTAATTCAGTCCCTTTGCTACAGCCCTGAACTCCCTTCTCATTTTTTTATATGGTCTGCCCCCCTCCTCCCCCACAAGAAAAATCAGCCATTGAATGATTGCATAATACTTTCAGACATACACCTCAGAATATTAGATGACAAAACATTTGACCCTAAAGATGAATTTGGTTGTCGAAAACATGAAGTTTCTTTTAAGGAAAAGAATAAAAGCAAGTTAATACGTCTCCTTTTTCGATTAGACGGAAGCAACGGAAATCACATCATTAACGTGCCAATGGGCATGCATTTTACATATCCGGAATTCTACATTTTTTCAGTTTCTCAATAGTACTCTTGTTACTTACCTGCGGTCTAAACTTTACCCTAAGCAACCTATTCATTTCATCCTGGCTTCATTTCACCATGATTTCCAAAATTTACCGGCGAAAAACACGTGAAATGTAAAGCAGCGCCATATTGGCCACGGGCGTCAGCAGACAAATGGCACAGCGGTGTACTGTGTATGTCATGTACACTGACATTTTGTATGTTGTGGACTTTGTCACTTCCTTGACAGCTGAAACATATTTTCTTTCTTGCTTTTGCGTTTGTTGACAGTGAATAGTAACACACTATCTGTATTACATCCAGGGACGGTTGGGACGGTTCCTATTTTCAGTGCTGTATCAACTTTCTGAAACGATACGTGGCTCTGGAGCACATGACCCACCTAACCAATTCAGTGCAAGGAAGACGCGAAAGGGTATGGTACATGACGGTATATTTCACGTCCCCTTAACATACCGGTAACCTATTTCCCCCTGCCTATTTACAAGCGAGTTTCCAAAACTCCAGGAAGCGATCCAAAAAATGCCAGGTGGGCGAAAAGAGTTGATGGAATACCTTGACAATCTGGGAATCACTTCAGAGACGACTGAACATCCCGCAGTCTTCACTGTGGAAGCCATGATGCCCTATGTTGGACATCTCCCTGGCGCTCATAGCAAGAACCTCTTCCTCAAAGACAAAAAGAAGAAACGATTATGGCTTGTCACAGCTCTTGCCTCTCGCGAAGTAAACCTGAATGATCTTGCCAAGAAGGTCGGCGCAAGTGGAGGCTTTCGTTTCGCGGATGAGGCGATTATGTTGGAGAAACTTGGAGTTGGACAAGGTTGTGTGACACCCTTGTCCTTGTTTAACGACACTCAACAAGAAGTGACCTTTTTACTAGACGCAAGCTTTGTCGAGGACAATCATGAGCAAGTGAACTTCCACCCAATGACCAACGAAGCCACGACAGGATTAAAACCTGAAGATTTTATGAAATTTGTCAAAGCAACAGGACACGATCCAGTTTTAGTGCACTTCTAGTGAATTTTACCCACAAGATAGCGGCAATAAAAAGGGGATTTAATGCCTTTCGTTATGCTAGGGTTAAGTCTCCTTTCAAACCTCAAACTTTTCGTGTAATCAATTCAATGTATCTGTATTAGGTTCCCAAGGTGGGGGGGGGGGGAGAGGTTACTCTGGATTTCAAGTAACAAGGATGATGAAATGGGGGCAAAATCAAAACTCCAAAAAATCCATGGTCCAAAAGTAGCAAAACCAATTTGGTTATACTTCATTTGCAGAACTACATGGCCCGGGGATACGTGGGTGCCACCACAAATCTTCAGATTGTTCCCTCCCCCAAAAAATCCCAGAATGGAAGATTTCAAACCCAAAAAAACCCTTTGATCATCCCCATGACTTGAAATCAGGAGTTCCCCCACCCCCTTCCTTGGGATTAGGTTCAGCTGGGGATCTTCTTTGTAAAGCTCTGTGGAGCTTGCTAAGATCTCACCTACCACCATAGGGAGATTGAGAAGCTGACATTTCAGGTGTTGGCTCTTCAATAGTCTCCCTTGTAGCCGTTTTTAGTGTCGGCACGCGACGCAAAGGAGACTAGCTCTTCCTCAGAACAAATCTCTCTGATGACAGGTTAGTGCTCAAACGTCAGCTTCTCAACCCCCCCCCACTGGCCATTGACAATCTTACCAACTTGATCATACCCTGCGACCAGAGTCTCCTTCCAGCTTCCTCTTCCCGATATTTTCTAGGAAGATTGAAGGAGACTCTGCTTGCAGGGTAACTTGATCAGTAATTGATACTTCATTCCATTTCTGCGACTTTAGTTTATGCACACCATTATATATCATGAAACTTAGGTATAGCCTCTTCTTATGGGTAAGCTTAGAAAGCCCAGGTTTCATTTGCTTCTTGTGCAAGGCAAGGGAAACAAAAAAGTATACACCAGTATGCAGTTTCATAATTGAAAATGATAACCACAGGGTTCTAATGCTGAATAGAACTGTTGACAGCACTGTCTTATTTGGGATTAAATTCACCCAAACAATGATGAAGATTTCTCCTGTTATTATGCTTTGCTTCATAGAGATCGGAGAGATGTTGGCAAGAAGGCTCTTTTCTGGGCATAGATGGAGTTAGGGGTAGGGGCTCCCAAACACAAACAACAAGTTGCTAATAGTGTCCTTTTAGGAGATAAAAGTTAGAGACTGGCACTGTTTAGGGAACCATTAAAGAAGAAAATCCCTTGATAGAGTTACCATCTCAGTGGTTAGAGTATTTCAACCTGTATTTTGGATAATCATAGGCTCAAATTAGCCTGAATTTCATCTGATTACTTCGAGTCGTTATTACTCCCTCAGTTAAGAGGAGAAAACGACTCGAAGCAATCGGATGAATTTCAGGCTAGGGACATGTTTGCTTTTCATCCAAATCATCTGAAATTTTGTCATGGTCAGTTTATTTATTTGGTATCTCTCACAGCTCACAACCTGAGATTAGGCTCTATTTTTGCTTTGCTTGGTAAATCAAATTCTTGCGCGCAAGTGGAAATGAAAAGAAGTTACTGTGCTTTTCACATACATGGGAACTCCAAATTTAAAAAGCTGCTGTCACAATTGCGTTTTTTGCTGCTGTCAATCATAATTACAATCACAAGCAATGAACCTTGAAACACAAAAAATGGATCAAAATCCACCAATCACAGATCACAAACCATGACCTTTTGAACCCCATGATGAACGGCAGCAAAAAATGCAAACATCAGTTAACTTTTGAAAGTCATGTTTTTGAAAAGCACAGTAAGAGTGACCACAGAGAGAATCCATGAAAGTTGTCAAAATGGGCCTGATGTCAGGTGAAGGGTTCACTGAGGAGAGAAAGTTACAGTTGGGTATGAGTTATGCAAGATCTATCAGAGACCAAATCAACAGACAGCATCACAAATATTTTGAGACTGAAGCTTTTGAAAAGCCTTATTTATTTTCCAAAAAAAGTCACAATGTGCCTACATTTATTTTACAATAATTTATTCAATATTCCAAACTAATGATTATTGCATAAGCAACCCTTCTACACAGTGAAATATTACCTCTGTTGATATGTCGACTCTAAGGACACTCAACACATATTGCAAAATTGAGATTGAATTTCTCATAATTTTAAAGGTGAGGCACAGAGGTTCTCGGTTGCCTACGGAATTGCAAGCAGTGTATTCTTCCAGTCAAAGTGAAGTCTTTGAAGATGTACCATACCCCACCAGCAGAGGGGTGTTTGGTTTGCACACCCCACCCCCCTGAAAATTTCTATAAAATTTTGGCCATTAACCCTTTAAGACCTAAGTGTGACCAAAATCACCCTTCTTCTAACAATATCAAAACATAATCAAGAGAAAAGGTTATGAGAATTGATGATCACTAAAATGGAATGTTTTGTTTCAAATTCCCTCAGTTGTATGTGGATATTGATGCTCAGTTAAAGGGATAAGACCTTCCCTCTCCTCAGATTTACCAATGACCCTCCTCAGGTGGGGTGAACATTTTTCTGGAAGCACACATCTTTTACAAGATATTTTTTACTCCTAAGGTTCTAATTTTGTATAATCAAGTAGTGCCACTCAAAGACAACAGCAAAATGGTGATTGGAGACTGAAATTAAAACAAGGTTTTAGTGTCCTGAAATAGCTTTAAAGTACAGATAAAGCATCTTCTTACAGTTACTTCAGTCTATTGCAGCAGTTGTTTTGATCTCACAATCCCTACTGCTAAGATACAGACATCTCAGTCTGTAAATGCAGACAGTGAGTTCTATCCCTTTGGTGACACTATCAACAAAAATTTGATGCCTACATTTGACATTATCAGAAAAAAGTTTCATTGTCCATTAAACTTTTTCAGGTCTGAAAAGCAGTCTGTCTTAAAACATGCAACTTTCTCCAAAAATTATTGAAAATGCCTTCCATGCAAATTAAATTACAATTACAAGGAACATTTCTCAAGGGCCATGCATGAAGCTGTTTATGTAACCTTTCCGATCAATCTAGGTTTCTGGGAAACTGCCCACCTACCCCTCCCCTAAGCCATCATTTTGCCCTAAGTGAGAGGTAAGTGTTAATGTTAGCTTAGGGGAGGGGTAGGTGGGCAGTTTCCCAGAAAACAAATTTTCCTAATTGATGAGCTGCACATGTGCCATCTTCTGTTAAAGACTTGGATTTTGTGGGAAACTTACACACAAACGTGATCAAGTCTAACTAATGATATTATTATTATTTCTAAATTATTAAATTTACAAGTATACAAAGTCACTTTCTGACAGGTATTATTCTAGTCAAAGCATAATAAAACAAAATTGTAAATAAACCTTACTGAAAATTACCAGTAACTTTCCATATTGCTATAAATTTGTTAAAGTTTCTTATAAAAATAACCAAGTAATAAATAACAATTGCTAATGAAAGCACACAGTGCTTAGTATTCACTTGACAAACCTGTCATTTTTAAGAAAGATTATTTTTAATTACTATAATATAAGACTGATACTGAGGCCCTGTTTAAATGGAGAAAATTATCTTGGGTAGAAAAATCACTTGCCCACTCAAGCTACTCTTGGTGAGTCACCTTTTCCTACATTTCCTCATAAAACTTGGCAAAACATTTACATGAGAAACAAAAAGTTGGAATGACTAGAATGGTGACCCACCTTGCCAGATTACCCTTTTCAATGGTAGGGTCACCCTCCTAGCCCAACCAACTTAATTACCTTCATATCAACAATTTGGCTTCCCAAGCCAGATCAATTTGGTGAAGGCCAGACAACCAAGTATGCGCAAGCACTATTGTTGTGCAAATGAGTCAATTTTTTTCTCATATAAACACTCTCGCTAAAGTTGACTTGGTAGACAGGGAGAGGACCCTCTTTCCTGGGACAACTTTTCTCTATATAAACAGGTCCTATCTATCACCAAATTCTGCACATTTAATTTGGTTACACAGATTAAAAACTTACTTCTTTCTTAACTTAATTCATATTTACAGTGAGGAATTTTTGTGCCTTTTTTGTACCTCTGAATCCTTTGAAAATATTACGTAACTAGTAAATCTTAAACGGAAGTTAAAAATCCTAATTTCTATGTCTCAAACAACAAATCATGTAGTATATGTTGGAAAAATTTTCCACAGTTTTCACCGTTTATTAATTTACATTAAACGAATTAACAACACCCAAAGGTATCTACATATTAAATGAAAACAAACACTCACTGTAACCAAAAATTAATGGTGACAACTAAAGCCTGTATAAATTGTTTCCAAAAAAGTACTAACTTGACAAGGAAATAAGGTATTAAATAACAAAGATGTGTCATGGAATTTATCATGAAAATTTAGAGTGAACTGGCCACTGAATAGAGGAGAACTGTAAACATTGATCAAAAATAATTACTAAAAACATTGAATGAAGCTATTAAATACAAAGGGACTCCAGGCACAGCCAGGGATGAACAAAATTGAAGAGGGCTGAAATAATATTGAAATCAGGGACTTGTCAGCCTAACATTTCTCTTCTATAATAATAAGTATTGTTTGCAACTTCAGATATGACATGTGAAAAACAAAACTTGTTTGTCAAAAAGCTGCGATTAACAGCCCCTACTTTTTTGCACTTGTTATAGTTTTGTGTTCTAGGGAACAAAAAATCATACTACGTGCTAAAAAGCTAGAATTCTTATCTTCATTTTGTAGTTAAAGGTGACTCTAAACCATCCAACAACAACAAAAATGAGAAATAAAGACCAAAATCAACTGAAATATAAAACTGTTTTTAAATTCATAAAATGGCATCAACCACTCCTTCTCTAAATCTCTATCTACTTTAACTAAGGTAATATATACAAAAAGTACAAACTGCTAACAGTTAAACATATTCCCTTAAAAATTTAATAGACTTAAAGTCAATGTTATGGCTCTCCAGTGATCCTGTTTTTTACTTTTTAATTATTCATTTCACTAATTTGTATTTTTTGAATCTGGGTAGAGCTGTGTTCTAGCAGCACCTGGTGGTCCCTGGCAAGTTATATCACAATAATAGGATATCACAAGGGGAATTTCACAACAGTGCTGGAATAGAAAGTGTTAAGGAGCCTAAAGCTTGAATCTATGACATCATGGTTGCCTCACATACAAGTTGTGTAAATCGCCAGGGACAACCAGACACTGCTGAAGTATAGTCTTGACTTACTGGGATTCTTGGGATCCTAACTTTACATAAAATAATTTGCCAATAAGGAAGGCAAACGAGAAAGACGACTGGAGATTACATTTATCTAGAACATCACCATGTAATCTTGTTAGTATTTGCTTGCAGTTATATTGACAACATAACAGAATTGCACATGGCAGCCATTTGATTTTCCCATTATAGTACATTTCAAATACTTGATGTATAGTTATTAACAATCTACATACATACTATCGTTAAATTATGCATTGTTTTGCTTCACTTGGAGTGATGTCACACATATCTACAGTATCTATAATTATCTATCATTTTCTATATTAGAGGTTTCAAATTATAATTCAATTAACCTTGGCATTTTCCCCCACATCACCTTTGGTTAAGTAATGGTGATGTTCCTCCACTGTTACTGTGATCACTACTCGTTGTAGATCTACTGTCCGTGGAAGTTGTCTTGTTCTTTTTCCGTCGCTTAGCAAGTGGAGCTTGTTGAACATCCATTAATGTGAATCCTTCTTTATGTGCTCTGTTAAATGCGTCATATGTCACATTCAGAGCAGCATCGACATAAGTCCTTTTGTGTCCTTTACCTAGAATTCCAGGTGTCATTAGCGGGGTGTGTGGGAGACACGCACTCCCTCGTAACCACTCATGATACAAAACTTCCCTGACTTTTAATCTCTGGCTTGGATCCACGGTTAACAGTCCTAAGAGAAAAAGGTTTTAAGAAATGGTTAAGTCTGCTGAGTTTGATGCTCAATTTATCAACATTCAAGACACCTTTCATGGGTGGTATATTTTTCTGGTTGAGTCCTGCCGCATCAATCCCTTCTCTTAATCCCTCCTTAACTCTCCCAAATACGGCACAAATCTCTTGGTCTCCAATATGGGTCACCAAAAATCATGGATAAAATGGAATTTTGAGCTTTTCTGTTCTTTAGTTTCAAAATTAATCTAACCCATTTCTCCCCAAAATTAACAAAAAAAAAATCTGCCATAGTACGGTTTCAATTCTGTGGCAATAACACTGAGAAGACTATTAATTTTTGACTAATTTTGATGGTCTATACTCATGTAAGAGTACGTCATAATGTCCTGTCCTGCATTATACTTTGAGGACTGAGTAAATTTGTGTTTAAAAACAATGGGGATTGATGTTGGGGAAGGGGGTAGTGCAAAAGAGACAGTCTTGTCTTCTCCTCCTTTCACTTCATAATTCCTTTTTGAAAATGAAATTCAAGGACAATATCACATTTATTTCTGTCAAATACTTTCACTTAAAAAAGCTTAAGAGGCTTTATCTAATGGGCGACAATGACACGTTATAAAACAGGGACACCAATGCAAAATTGCACCATTTTCAGCTAGCCTTTATGCCGCTATATAATACCTTTGATGAGGTCCTTTGCTGCTGGGGATATAGACTCCCACTGAGGTCCTTCAAATCTGATGTCTCCATGCGTGATTCTTTGCATTATTAAGTCTGAAGATCTAAAACTGTTACTACTCTGGAATGGCACCTGCCCAGATAGCATTGTGTACTGTAAATATCAAGCAGTTCATTATTAGGAGTCAAGTTTTAGTGAAGAGGATGATCAATGGATTTTTTCGGTTTCAAATTTTCCATTCCAGATTTTTTGGGGCAGAAAAATTTGGCAAATGATTTTTGGGTGCCTTGATATAAGTAGTGGGTTGTTTGGGTCCCATTAGAGTGCACTTAAATTAACAGACTGTACCACTTTCAGTTATGAATCAACAGGTGGCAAATTCCTCAATCCCCTTCCTCCACCAACAACTATCACCCATTTCATTCAAGTCTTGAATGCCAGATAGTCTGTCCTGCATCCCTTATGGGATAAGGGGCACTTTCCATTCAACAAAAATTTCGGATTTTCCAGTTAAATGGACCCAACCCAAGCAACTGTGCATTTGCTCATTGTCCTTACAAGCAGGATACAAAAAAGTGGTGCTGGGGACACCAATAAATTTTTCAAATGAAAAGGCACATTTCAGTCTTGCCAACCAAAATGACCAGACTGGTCATAATGGACCACCTTCAATGGCGGTTACAAATATTCCAGTCGGACCAGTCCCAAATGGTTCGTTCCATTAGCTTTCTAACCAAAATTTTGGGCTGAATGGAAAGTGCCCAAACCGCTCCCACAAAATGAAAATATTACAATATTTAATTACTATAAAAATGAAATAACCTAGGTAGTGCAGTAATTAATAATTCAAAGTAGACAGACTGCAAATTATATTAGTTGCTATAAAGTATTCATAATGTATTTGTTTTAATACTTATTTATTACCTTTAGTTAATTATTCACAAAAGGTGTAATTAATCGATAACTAATAATAATAATCCTGCTCACCAAAATGTTTAGGGGTCTTGTTAAAATGACTCTTGTGCTTGTACTTGCTGGTTACAGCTTTACAGTAGGTAAGCAGTAACACTGACCTCATTTTCACCCTGAGTGCACGTCTTTGTTTTACAAAATGATGAGGTTTGGAAAATCACGAAAATACAAGGAATTCTTTCACTTACCATTATTACTCCAAGACTCCATAGATCACATGACTCATCATAACCACTTCGGAGAGAGATCTGACTTATTACCTCTGGAGCAGCATAGGCTGCAGTAAAGCAGGGTGTTTGTAAGGGTTGATTTTCAGGTTTAAGTCTTGCAAACCCAAAGTCAACAATTTTTAATTCAGCATTTTCAGTGTTATCCTCAAATAACAAGTTCTGAAAAAGGGCAGAAACATTTTTATTTAAAAAGCGAAGTGCATCATTACTACAACACTATGAAGTGAATATGCAAAGTGATACTTGATGTTTGAAGGGTTAAATTTTTTCCTGGGTTGGGTGGGAGGGGAAATTAATGAAGTTTGGGTGAGTATATGCCACCCATGCCTTCAAATAATAATATTAATTATTTAAAACTTGTTTTAGATGGATTCTATATCTAAAATCATGATACCCTGTATGAGAAAAAGACACATTTTGAATACTCTATTTTATATCTCAGATATAGATACTTCATTCTAACTTGTGATGAGGTCTCTTTTCCCTTTTTGGGGAGCTGGAGAGTGAAAATAACAAAAACAACAAAAAAAAAAACAGGGAGGGCATGATCTCGGGATAACTTCTTTCTAGAAGTAGAGTTAATCCAGATCAAAAGGTATTACATGTGTAGCTGGTACTTCACATGTGTTTGTATCCCACAGTGGTAAATTGTGATGACTTGCATCTTTATGTACCTCAGGTTTTAGATCGCGATGAACAACTCCTCTCCCATGCATAAATTCCACAGCTGAGGCTAATTTTCTTATGATGTTACTTGCTTCTGCTTCACTAAAATTCTTCTTCTTACGGATTCTCTCTAGAAGTTCTCCGCCACTAAGTAATTCCAATACTAAATAGGTGTGAAACTGAAAGAGATAAATGAAAACAAACTTAAACAAGACCCCCATATTATATTGGGCCTGGTTTTGAGGCTGCCGAATGCGCGATGCAGTAGTTTCTTATTTTGGGAAGTAAAGATTATAATAACAATTTATTATTACACTTTTTACCAGTTTGGGTGTATAGCTACTCCTAACGTGTGGAATGGGATAGAAATAGCCTTTTGACGCAAGAAATGATCGGTATTATTTTTAACTGAGACATCCCATCCCTCTCCCGCCAAGTATGTAGAATAATGGTACTAATGTGACTAATCTGATCAAACGGGAAATTCCAAACATTATAGCTGTTCTACACTTATAAACGGTCAATTGGTGTCTTTTAATATACTTGTTTTTAACAATAATTTTCTGTTTCTTAAGAATTTGAAAAGCGAATTAAGTTTCAGTTTTATTTCTTTCAGATAAATTGCGTTAAAAGCCCTTCTTACTATCCAAGTGAATATGTTTCTATTTGACGGGGTGATCAACAAATAGCATTCCTTTCTGGTAATGAAATAAATTGCAATAAGTTTTAAGCTTTTCCCATGACCATGGGAGGACATTGTTCCTGCAGCACCTGCATAGGCCAACAACATCATTCGATTACTGTACTTAGATAGTCATGATCATTCGGCATAGATATAGGGCCAATAACTCTAAAGAATAATGTTGTGTTCATTCCAAGTCGACTTTCAATTCTGTTTGCCAGATGACCAGAAATGACCTGTCCCCTTCCAGCAAAAATAGGCCCCACTGAAGGGGGAATGGGACATGCAAAGTCTTCAGGAAGTTCTGTCCACCATTTTGTCTTTTTTTTTGACATAGAAAGAATTTGCTTCTCATTTCTGAATTGCATGTTGCCCTCACAGGCAGCCCGATAAAAAGTGGAACATGGAAAAACATTGTATGAGCATTGCAGAGTATGCAATTAGCCAGGGTCCAAGAAAGTTGTCCATTTCCAGGAAGAATAACAATGATAAGCCTACCCTTCAATCATATAAACTGGGTGAATACATTATTACAACAAAACCCTTTGTACATGGACAAAGCTTCTAAAAGATTATAAAGTATGAGGATTCTTGATTGCAGAACTTTACAAAGAGCACTTACAGCATCCTGAAACACTTCTTGAAGCTTTACTATATTGGGGTGTCCTTGACATATCCTTAATGACTGCTCCTCTCGAATGTGGTCACGTCTGAAAAAAATATAACATAAAATTATATTTAATAATAATGCTATAAATGTCATCTTTGTTTGCCCACATTATGCTCGGCAATCTTTACACATACCATTGTAATCAAAATATTAAACATGTTGTTCTATAAAATTAACTAACACTAGTTATTAGGTGTCAAATGAATATATTTTAAAAATAAAGTAGTAATCAGTTGACAAGTGCACTGTTTGTATGTCTCGGCCTACAGCTGGAGAGACCTCACCAGTTTTAGGTGGTCATCTGAAGTCTTGCCGTCCAACTTTTTTGGGACAAATGAGAGGCATGACATTTTTGTCTTGGGAAAACTAGGATCAGCATATTTTAAGACATCAAATGAAATACTGTGAATCCGTTTTAAAATTGGAGATTTGGGGGAACGCATGGTAATTCGCATGAATTTTTCTTGAATTAATTAGCTTGAGGCCATTCTACTTTCTATACTATACGACTCTCCTGTTTTGTCTAGAAGCCTCTGGAAATGGCCTGATCTCACTCCCGGTCTCCTGTCGGAGTCACCAAATCTCCTGGATAACTTTTCTGTTACTTACTAGTCTCAAATTTAGCTCATTTTCAAAAATGTTTTCAGTCATAGCGCAGTTAAGTTTCTGCAGCATTTTTGAACATACTTCATCATTGACTAGTTGGTCACAAAAGGGAATTTTGACAATCTGTACTTCATGTAAGACTTTATAATATCCTGACTCCCACCCAGACAGGTTGGTTTGTGTTTATGAGCAGGGGATAATAAATTGTTGTTGGGTGGGAGGGGAGGGGGAGGGGGAGGTGGAGTACTGCAAAGGGAAGTCTCCAGGTATGAGAAATTAATCTGCAAGCAGTCAATTGGCTGCAAATCCCATCCATAACTCACTTTTTCCTCCGCCACTTTTTGTGACATTAGAAATAATAGTTACTCTAAATCTTTCTTAATTATCATTGTTACTGACATCACTACCAACAAATACTTTTGTAATGTAACATTCTTTCACAAAGAAACAAGGTATTGAGAAACTGAAACTATATTTACCTTCTACTAATAACTTTAACAGCATAAGCTTTACCGGTCTGTATGTGTTCACATTTCCTTTTAAAAGAGAAGTCACAATTAGCACTGGAATTTGTTATTATTATTTTTGTTTAATTGATAATATAATTTCACCCGTTTCTAAGTAGAAAGAGAAATTTCATGGAATGGGTAAACGGTGGTGAATGATACAGAAATTTCCTGGGAAAATTTCCAGAAAGTGTGAGAACAGTTGAATTTCTGAAATGTGAACATTAACAGGAGCAAAAGAAAGAAAACTTGGGGAAGAAACTTTCGAAAATTTGGATATACCATGCAAGGATGTCCCCTTTTTGGAATTTTTTGAAAATGCTGTTCCACTCACTACTGGAAATTGCCGAAAATTAACCAGGAAGTCTTGGTCGAATGGAAAGTGCCCAGTATTTAATATCCAGGAGCCATTTTGTAATCTTACCTTGGTTGCCAAAACGTGACTTTGAAAAAAAGTTGAGCTTGGAGTAGTGATTATAGGTTTCACGTTTAAATTCTCACCTGCATGTAGAGAAGCTTCCATCACCAAGAACTTCATCTTTTATGACATAATTTTTAAAGAAAGGAGAATCCTGTAATGAGAGATAATTTGACAATTTATAATAAGAATTTATTTAATAATATGTAACAATGCACTAGAAGATTTCCAATGATATTATACAGTACTCCACTTCCCTATAATACTAACAGTAGCCATGGAAATGATTCACAAAAAATCAAATTTCTTTTAATTTGTAACATATTTGAGTCACAGGAATTACTCCACAGATGAAAAGGTTACAGTGACTTGAATCACCCTGTCATAACTTGGTCTAGGAGCAGAAGGGCTTAGTAAGGCCGGTCCAGAAACCGTGCTTCATATGAGTTTAGGCCCACTCATATTAATTAATGCCGGCTGAATTGATTCAGACACCAATGTTTATTCCAGCCGAGTGTGCAAAGAAAGTGGTGTCCAATAGCCCGGGGCTAGTGAATTCTTTTCTCAACTTGCCCGACGGGCAGGTAAAGTTTTTTGGGAATTCACTGTTATCAATCCTGCTCATCAAAAAAATTTTTTTGGGCTATATAAATTAAGTGACTCTTGGGCTAGAACATTCTAGCTACAGCTTGCCCGAATGGCAAGCTGTAAAACTAACTTTCTTTGCAACCTGCAGCCAAACTAAATTCAAAAGGGAAAAATGCACATTTCTGTGGACTAGATTTTAATAATTTATGCACTTGATTTGGCTCAGGTAAAGTTTGGCATATGAATCAATGCCAGTCGTAACCTACTATTCCGAGCTGAGACAGGTTTGAAGAAATGCCCAGCAGATCCAAATACAATTAGGCATATCATTTTGAACTGATTCAGGTGACATTACTTAAAAAACTTAATTCACCAAATTCAACTAAGTTCACGTGAATTACTTGAACCAGGCCTACTGTGACCATTAGAAAGGATGAAGAAAAGCAGAAATAACATGAACTAGCGAGACATAAGGACCTGACTACTTGCAATCTTTTTTTTCTTAGTCCATTGAGCAAAACACTCAAGAGATGAAAATGACCATGTACGTGACTGAGGGTGCAAGGCAGGAGAGGCTGCCACCCTCGTCACCCATGCGCATGTGCACTCCCCTCACTAAATCTGAAGAAAAAGAGTGACTGCTTGCAGTGTACTCCCTTGGAAACAAATTTAAAAACTTTCCAGAATTCAAGGGCACCAAAAGACGGTTAATCCTCCTAGGCTAAATGCATTGTAAACACTTTTTAGGCTATCCAGAATACTTTCAGATCTCAAGAAATGCATTCTAAGTGGCACCATAAAATTTTCATCTGCTACAAGTGAGTCTTTTCGAAATTACAAGGGCTTCGCAATATTTTCCAAAAACTTTACACGCATTTTAAAGTATTATGAAAGGAAGAATTTTTTTAATCCTCTCTCCATCGCATTTTTGAATCTGAAAATTTAGGTTTCCTTTTTCTACGAAAAATAACTTAACCTAAGCAGTGAAATGCAAAAAAATAAACTTTAGAAAATAGTAGGGAATTTGTTAGATAAGCTTTGAAATTTGTACCTGAATGAAATGGTGATCTAGAAATTTTAAGCCTTCCTCAGCTTGATAAGCTATAGAAAATTCTAGGCAATTTTTGCTTCTCCGCACAGATGTTTTACAGAAAACAGTCGCTGGGTACCCATAAGAATTTTGAAGCCAGCGATTAACAGTAATATTAATACTTCACCCACAACTTTAATTTTTTACACAAAGGAAAAAACTTTCTCATTCATTTAATTTGATTGACAATAATTCAAGCATTACCTCAAACAATGCAGCATAGTCCACAGCACCAGGGGCAGGTCTGTTTTCTGATGGCTTGTTGGCAATAAATCGCTTTGAAAACTCATTTTCACCAAAAATAATTGAAGGAGCAACAAATGAATACCCCTGTAGGTAAAAAATAAAAATAGTTTATAATAGGTCATGTTCCATAAGACTGGAGTGTTTTAAGTAAAAACAGTTTTCATTGGCAATTTGATTTAATAATTTTTTTTCAACCATGTTCTGTAAAAGATGTAAATGCCTTTATTCTGATTGTCTCCCACTGAGATATGCGAACAACACAATATTATTAAATTCAGTCCTGAGTGACTACAAAAGGTAAAATGTTCAAGGTGTTTTCTGTGGCCCTGAAAGAAAAACTGCATTAAGTTTCAGAGGAACCAGGGATTTCAGAAGTGCGAGAGCCTTGATCTAAGTTTTCAGGCATTCATGTGACAGATCCATGCACAAAAACAATGACAGGTCTGCAAGCCGTTAGTTACGCAAAAACTATTATTTGCACAAAAGACCAGATTTAGGCCAACCAACACAGTATCATAGCAACAAAAATAATGCAGGCTTTTCACCAAAAGTAACTAGTTTTCAATCATGTTTTGATCAAATATTGATCAAACCAGTTAACTAACATGCCAAGTGAGATGAGTTTTTACTTTGTGGTGGACTAGTGATGGCACTGACAATATTATAACATAGTTTGATCTCACCTTGAAAATTCTGTCTGCAGTCTTTGGAGCAGCAGCTGGAGAGTATGTTGGTACCATGTCTGTGAACTCCTCAGCAAAATTACTCACATCCAGTTCATCCCTAATGCGTGGTTTGAAGGGTGCTGCTACCTTCCTCTGGGACAACAGGTTCCAGTTTATGGACTGTTAAAAAAGAATTTGAACTATAATGATGAGGAAGGAGAGAAAATATCTGTGTTGGGAATCTGCATAACGAGGTTGCAGGCCCCATCTTTTAAGGTACAGTTATATTCCCAAAGTGCATAATACCCATGACTTCAATTTATCCCACTAACACCATAGATCACCACTATTATAGCCACGAGTCTGACTATCATCAACATCATCATTATCATCATGGTCATCACGCACCCTGACTATCATCATCATCATCATCATCATCATCATCATCATCATCATCATCATCATCATCATCTGTTGTCATTGGTCTATAGCAACAGTAACAGCACAAATACATAGCCTGATCAAGACGTAACACTGCAGTTACCTTGAAGAAAGAATGTGCTTTAATCTCATGAGCACCCTTGGCTCCTAGCCGTACTTTTGGGTCTTTCTGTAAGAGCTTGAGAAGCAGATCCCTTACATCCCATGAAATGTCTGGTGGCATTGGGGGACTGTTGTAAAGAATGCGTCTGAAGAACAAGAAAAATTAAACGGTGAGAAAACGTACCCACTATTCACATTACACTGACATTGCTGATTTGAGCAGTATGCAGATAATATGCACATAAGAACCTAGTTTACTATAATATGGCCTTATTTGGGAGCGGACAAGATGACCATAATCCTGCATTCTGATTGGCCACCCAAGTGGGAAAGATGGGTCCATCTTGCCCACTCACAATTTCCTATGTAGGTCCCGCAAGAAAACATTCTCTTTTTGGCCATAAAATAAATCCTTTATTGACCAAGCTCATTTGTTTAAGACAGCCGGATATTGGCCTTGTTTTTTTTTTTAAGTCTCGGTTAATAAAAATGCAAAAAAAGAACTTGGCCGATATCCAGCTATCTTGACCTCACACTTGGTGAGTAATGCGTATATAATGCTATCCACAAGTCTCTGTGTAGTTGAGTACATATAGCTTCAATTCATTTTTTGGGACGTTATAGGTTTGAATCCTGTCAGGGACTCTCAGATTTTACCATTCCTAACCCTTAATGAGAGAACCTTTCTTACTTGGATATCTCAGATTGACTGTTCTTCTCTCCATCAACAGTGAAGGGAGATGCACCCGTCAGCAGTTCATACATCAGGACGCCTAAGCTCCACCAATCTACTGCCTGACACACACACACAAAAAACAAACAGTTATGCTAAAGCTTGAATAATGTTACTAGGATCTCAAAGCTGTAGTGTAAAATTTTATCATATTGGATGATTTAACCTTGACCCTTAACTTTATCCTATTTCCTCAATATAGAATTAGTGTTTCAAATTAAAAGTCTAATGAATTGAAAAATTGAAGAAGTTTGCCCAGAGTGGCACAAAGCCCTAAGTGACTTCTAATCAAATGCCAAACTCTGACTCACTCTCTCAGTTACAGAGAAAACATGAGAAAATGTGTCACAAGAATTTCGCAGTTTATCAGAAGTCACTTGGATGGATATTTTTCCCAGGCACTGTATGGTATGAATTATTTTACTATTAAGTGATAGGGTTTGTTCATTGTCAGCCTTGAAAGTTGTAGTTCAATGACCATGTTTCCTGGGAAAACAGCCAACACTTCATGTAGCCACCACTGGTTTCCGCACGAAACAATATCAGAGGAACCAGTGCTGAAATTCCATACCAATGGCATGTCACTACCAAGACTGGTTAGTACTCGTGATTAGGCTCTTACCGATAGTGCTGGCAGTTTTTTTGTTATTTTTTGGCTTCGCGAGCATTTTTTTTATGTTTTATCCCAAAAAGCACTGCTAGCATTATTTTGGATTTTCGACTGATTACTTGTATAATTTTGTGTTAAAAAACACAATCTGACTTTATTTATGTCGTCCAAAGCCGCATTTTGCCCTCATTTTAGTCAAAGGAGCCGAGGAGGCCTGGGGAATAGGTTTGATAGGTTAGCGGTTGCCCTCTAGAAACCCAGTCCACACTCGTTCTAAGATGGCGTCATCCACGTTGTCATCGAGGAGCAATGGAAGTCAGCCAGCCAGGGCAGAGATAGCTCGAGAGTCTACTCTGCCATTTTGTTGTTGAAAAATGTAACTGAAAATCTGAAAAATGTAATATTCTATGTTTAAAAAAATTGGAAAAAAGTGAGCATTTTTATGTAACCCACGAGCACTTTTTAAAAAAATTAGCATTATTTTAGCACTTTTTTGGCAAAAAACACGCACTGCTTTAAGCATTTAATGCTTTTTTTACGAGCGCTATCGGTAAGTGCTTACTCGTGATTGGTTGGAGCAAATTCCCCTTGCAACACAACGTCATTTTGCTAGGAGACCAGTGGTGGCCATGTGAAATTTTTGCTGTTTTCTCAAGCTTATGATCATGGCATAAAATTATGATCATGCATATTAGCACATAATAGGATATTTCACTAGTCTTATAGAACCTTGGGTTCCCTGCGCATTAAACATGATTTGTTTTTAATAATACAGTAAATTATAGCCTGTCAGCCTGGATCAAACAGAATGGGATCATTGTCCCTATCCTAAATTTTAACTCATTTAGTGATTTTCAGGGGGTGATATGATCTGGTCCAATCCAGGTTTAAAATTTTTTGATGCCTTAAATTATACAAACTGTGAATATTATGCACTGTTGAGCTTTTAACAGGAGCCCTGGTCCCAGTGTTAATACTGACAGAATTACAGCCAGCCTTGAGAGTTGGGAGCCTGGGGGGTACTCCCTATAATGGCCTATAGGGGGAGGCTCTGCCCGAAAGGGGTATGGATTTCAATATTTGAAGTATATGGAAATCTGTCATTGTGGTCATTAAAAAGGACCCAAAGGACTAACAGGTGCATTTGACAGCTGTGAAAATGTGGAGAAAACCTTCTGGTTTAAGGTTTATTTATATCTGCATTTACAGCAGTTGAAAGGGATACCAAGTTCTAAACTAGGGATTTGACAGGGGTATGAAAGGGGTACCTTTTATGCCAAAAATGGTATAAAACTATCACTGATGAATATGAATTAATATCTCATATTGTTTGATGATTTATAAATATTAATGTTCATCATTTACCTTATCATGGCCTCGACTTCCACCTTTAACAACTTCAGGAGCCATGTATTCTATGGTGCCACAAAAAGAATAAGCTCTTTCCCCCTGGGAACAATTTTAAATAATCAATTACCACAATATGTTTACTGATATTGCAAGGTCATTAGCCATTTTAAGCTGTCATGAAAAACAAATTCAGCGGAAGTTTATAAATATACATAAAAATAATCTTACAGAATTAGCCGCAGAGAACTCTTTACTCAATCCAAAGTCTGTGATCACGACGTGACCATCGGAGTCCAACAGAATATTCTCTAACTTGATGTCACGGTAAATTATACCGAGCTGTAAATAAATCAATATCGCAATTCTTATTAGGCAAACTACACACATCGTGAAATTTCAAGAATAAGCCTAAAAAGTTAATAACTTGCACGCAAAGTCGAGTGTAAGTAACATCGGCCCCAGGAAAGGTGTCAAATCTCAACGACTGTTAAA